ACAGATGACATGATACTCTAAGGAAAACCCAAAAGATTCCACCAAAAGAGTGCTAGAATTGATCCATGAATTCAGCAAAGTTGCAGTATATAAAATCAACGCACAGGAATTGGTTGCATTCCTATACACCAATAATGAAGGAACAGAAAGAGAAACCAAGAAATCGATCCCATTTACAACTGCACCAAAAACTACAAAATACTTAGGAATAAATCTAACCAAAGGTGAAAAATCTATACACTGAAAACTATAGTAAGCTTATGAAAGAAATTGAAGAAGACACAAAAAAAACAGAAAAATATTCCATATTCCTGGATAGGAAGAACAAATATTGTTAAAATGTCAATACTACCCAGAGCAATCTACATATTCAATTCAATACCTATCAGAATAACACCAGCATTCTTCACAGAACTAGAAAAGGCAATCCTAAAATTTGTATGGAACCAGAAAAGACTCTGAACAGTCTTTTTTCTTGAAAAAGAAAACCAAAGCTGGAGGCATCAAATCCCAGACTTCAAGCTGTATTACAAAGCTGTAATCATCAAGCCAGCATGACATTGGCACAAAAACAGACACTCAGATCACTGGAACAGAGCAGAGAACCCAGAAAATGGAGCCACAAACATATGGCCAATTCATCTTTGACAAAGCAGGAAAGAATATCCAATGGAATAAAGACAGTCTCTTCAGCAAGTGGTGCTGGGAAAACTGGACAGAGACAAACAGAAAAATGAACCTAAACCAATTTCTTACACCATAAACAAAAATAAACTCAAAATGGATGAAAGAACTAAACATAAGACAGGAAGCCATCAAAATCCTAAGACAGGAGAAAGCAGGCAAAAATCTCTTTGGCCTTGGCTGCAGCAACTTCTTACTCAACACATCTCCAAAGGTAAGGGAAACAAAAGCAAAAATGAACTATTGGGACCTCATCAAAATAAAAAGCTTCTGCACAGCAAAGGAAACAACCAGCAAAACTAAAAGGCAACTGACAGAATGGGAGAAGATATTTGCAAATGACGTATCAGATAAAGGGTCAGTATCAAAATCTATACAGAACTTACAAACTCAACACCCAAAAAACAAATAATCCAATGAAGAAATGGGAAAAAGACATGAATAGATACTTCTCCAAAGAAGACATCCAGATGGCCAACCAACACATGAAAAAATGCTCAACATCACTCATCATTAGGGAAATATAAATCAAAACCACAATGAGATCCCACCTCACACCTGTCAGAATGGCTAACATTAACAACTCAGGCAACAACATATATTGGTGAGGATGCAGAGTAAGAAGATCTCTTTTGCACTGCTGGTAGGAATGCAAACTGGTGCAGCCATGCTGGTAAACAGTGTGGAGGTTCCTCAAAAAATTAAAAATAGAACCACACTATGACCCAGCAATTGCACTACTAGGTATTTATCCAAGGGATACAGGTATGCTGTTTCAAAGGGGCACATGCACCCCAATGTCTATAGCAGTACTTATCAACAATAGCCAAAGTATGGAAAGACCCCAAATGTCCATCGATGACACTGATGAATGAATAAAGAAGATGTGGTATATATTGGTGTGTGTGTGTGTGTGTGTGTATACACACAATGGGGTATTACTCAGCAATCAAAAAGAATGAAATCTTGCCATTTGCAAATACGTGGATGGAACTAGAGGGTATCATACGAAGTGAAATTAGTCAGAGAAAGACAAATATCATATGACTTCACTCATATGAGGACCTTAAGACACAAAACAGATGAATAGAAGGGAAGTAAAAATAATATAAAAACAGAGAGGGGGACAAAACATAAGAGACTCTTTATGGAGAACAAACAGAGGGTTACTGGGGGGGTTGTGGGATGGGCTACATGGGGAGGGGCATTAAGGAATCAACTCCTGAAATCATTGTTGCACTATACGCTAACTACTTGAATGTAAATTAAAAAAAAATTAAAAGTGAACTCTAAGAAAAAAATGTGTTGCATTTCTATACACTAATAATGAAGCAGCAGAAAGGGAAATTAAGAAAATCCCACTTACAATGCCACCAAACAATAAAATATCTAGGAATAAATTTAATCAAAGAGGTAAAAGACCTATACACTGAAAACTATAAAACACTGATGAAAGAAATTCAAAATGACATAAAGAAATGGAAAGACATTCCATGCTCATGGATTGGAAGAATGAATATTATTAAAATGTCTTTACTACTCATAGCAATATACACATTTAATGCAATGCCTATCAAAATGCCAAGAGCATTTTTCACAGAACTAAAACAAACAATCCTAAATTTTATGGAACACAAAGATTCCAACCAGCCAAAGCAATCTTGAAAAAGAAAAGCAAAGCTGGAAGCATCATAAATCCAGACTTCTAAGTTATATAACAAAGATATAGTGATCAAAATAGCATGGTACTGACACAAAAATAGATGCACAGATCAATAACAGAGAATAGAAACCCCAGGAATAAACCCACAATTATATGGGCAATTAATCTTCAACAAAGGAGGAATGAATATACATGAGAAAAAGACAGTCTCTTCAACAAATGGTACTGGGAAACCTGGACAGCTACATACAAAAGAATGAAACTGGACCATTTTCTTTCACCCTACACAAAAATGAACTCAAAATGGATTTAAGACCTAAATGTGAGACTTGAAACCATAAAAGTCCTTGAAGAGACAAAGGCAGTAACTTCTCTGACATTGGGCATAGCAATTATTTTTCTAGTATGTCTCCTGAGGCAAGAGAAAAAAAAAAAAATACTGGGACTATACATCAAAATAAAAAGCTTCCGCAGTGAAGGAAACAATAAATCTAAACGGTAACCTGTGGAATGGGAGAAGATATTTGCAAATGACATATCCAATAAAAGGTTAGTATCTAAAATATATAAAGAACTTGTACAACTCAATACCAAAAAAACAAATAGTCATATTTAAAAATGGGCAGAAGACATGAACAGGCATTTCTTGAAAAAAGGCATACAGGTGGCCAACAGACACAGGAAAAGATGCTCAACATCACTCATCATCACGGAAATGCCCATCAAAACTACAATGCGGGCACCTGGGTGGCTTTGTCAATTAAGCAGCTGACTTCACCTCCAATTCACAAGTTCAAGCCCCACTTAGGCTCTGTAGTGACAGCTCAGAGCCTGAAGCCTGCTTCAGATTCTGTTTCTCTCTCTCTCTCTCTGTGTCCCTCCATGTCTCTGTCTCCCTCTCTGTCTCTATGTCTGTCTGTGTCTGTCTCTCTCCCTTCCTCTCTCTCTCTCTCAAAAAAATAAACACTTAAAACGTTTTCAAAAAAATCTGCATGAGATATCACCTCACACCTGTCAGAATGGCTAAAATCAACAACACAAGAAACAACAGGTATTGGCAAGGATGTAGAGAAAAGGGAACCCTCTTGCACTGTTGATGGGAATGAAAATTAGTACAACCACTATGGAAAATAGTATGGAGTTTCCTCAAAAAGTTAGAAATATAAGTACCACATGGTCTAGCAATTACACTACTGGGTATTTACTTAAAAAATACAAATATAGTAATTCAAAGGGATACATGCATCCCTATGTTTATTAGGGATTACATTATTTACAATAGCCTAACTATGGAAGCAGTCCAAGTGTCCACTGCCAGATGAAGAATAAAGAAGAAGTGGTATATATATACAATGGAATGTTTTTCAGCCATAAAAAAGAATGAAATCTTGCCATTTGAAACACCATGGATGGAGCTAGGGAGTATGATGTTAAGCGAAATAAGTCAGTCAGTTAAAGACAAATACCATATGATTTCACACCTATGTGGAATGTAAGAAACAAAACAAACAAGCAAAGGAAAGAAAAAGACAAACCAAGAATCAAACTCTTAACTATAGAGAACAAACTGATGGTTACCAGAGGGGTGGACGGTGGGGGGGCGGGTGAAATCAGTGATGGGGATTAAAGACTATACTTAGCTTGATTTAAAAAAAAAAAAAAGGACCAAAAAAAGACAAAGGAAAAAAAGATCAGGCTATAACACCAGAGATTTAATTTAGACATTAGGAATAACTTTCCAATAATGACAACTAAGAAACAGGAGGACTGGGTAGTCAAGAAAGATGGCAACATCATGTTCTACAAAGGACTTCAGAAATGCTTTTTTTAAAGTCAGTTTGATATATTTCAGATATGGTCCTTCCTGAACCAGAAAATGAAGGTGAACTCCCCAACCACTATTTCACCCAAATTTGATCCTTTCTTAGACAGTTGGCTCTAGTGAAATAAACACCATTATTCTTAAAGAGACAGATCTAATTTAAATTGGTGAGCACCAAAACCATGAAAGGAATAACTGACCGGTAATACATTTTATTTAATTTATTTTTTTTAATATTTTTATTTATTTCTAGCAGAGAGAGAGAGAGAGACAGCGTGAGCAGGGGAGGGTCAGAGAGAGAGGGAGTCACAGACTGAAACAGGCTCCAGGCTCTGAGCTGGCAGTCAGCACAGAGCCCGACGCGGGGCTCGAACCCACGAACCGCGAGATCATGACCTAAGCGAAAGTTGGACACTCAACCGACTAAGCCACCCAGGCGCCCCATACATTTTAAATGTAATTATTGCAAACCTTTATATACAAGGAGAACTTTTGTGTGGTAAAAACCATATTCGACCTATGATTTTACTTAATTTTAATATTCCTCTGAGGCAAGCATGAGGAACTGTCCTGACTTTCCTGATGAAGACACAAGCTCTTATAAGCTATGATACTATATCTCCTAAGACCTAGCAATGGCTATTCCCTGTAGGCCACATGATCATCAGAGAATTGCAACTCCCAAAGCTAGTGTTTCCCATTCCCAGCAGAATGTGAGGAGAAAATCCTTCAGGACAGTGAAGGCCAAGACAGGGGACTGGGGTTGATGAGAACACTCTCTCTCATATATTCACAATCACAATCTTCTCTTACTGGGTACAAAAGCATCAGGCCTCCAGATTATGGGATGACCCTAAATTTGGGAAGCCCTGGAGAACAGTCATCAAGGGCCCAGGCCCACAACCTAAAAAGATAGTTCTCTGATTAATCACCTTGCTACCCTGGACGCTACCCCTACAATCAAGAGAAGAAGGCCTGTCTGCTTCTGCCAGGTGTCTCACCCACATGGCCTTTCTCCTGAGCTCCACCCTGCCCATCCTTCTATAGACAAGAAACCAGGCCTCATGCATCCTCACTCTAACATGAGAGAGCAGCACCAAACCAAGCAGGTATGCTCCAATACAAGGGACAAGGAGTTGGGGCGCCAGGGTGGCTCAGTCAGTTAAGTATCCAACCTCAGCTCAGGTCGTGATCTCACAGTTGGTGAGTCCAAGCCCTGCATCAGATTCGTGCTGACAGCTAGAGCCTGAAGCCTGCTTCAGATTCTGTGTCTCCCTCTCTCTCTCTCTCTGCCTCTCTCTCTTCAAAAATAAACATTTAAAGTTAAAAAAAAAAAAAAAAGGACAAGGAGTAAGAGAGTGGAAGGTTGAGGACAAGGCCAAGCCATGATTTTTTGGTCTCTCTGAACAATACAGAGAGCTAGAGTATGTCAGGTGTGGATGGTTCCATATGGAGAAAATCATAGAGAAACAAGTATAGGATAGATAGAAAGGTAGGAAAGCTTAAAAACAAAGAAATGTGAGGTCCATTATTCCTTTCTGGAAAGTGCTCTGGAAACTTACACTACCTTTAGAGCTTAATTCAGACTCAAGAGTTAAACACAGTAAGCCCACAATAGACTCCATTGTCAAGATTTTCATCAATAAAGTATTTGAATGTGCTGCCTGCAAAGGCACTGCTTGAGTGACGGGTCATTTTCTCAACCTTTTTAAGTTCCCTACTCCCTAGTCTCATCTGACACCTAATATATGGAGAAGACTGTCTCAGATGCTCACCTGTGGTATATACAATGCTAGCCACACTATATGGCCCAATCTAGGACTTACTAGGAATTCCTTTTAAGACAGAATCTGAGTGATGGGTGATGAAAAAAAGTGGGCTCATCTGCATGTATCTAAGTACAGTAACTGTATTTTCTTGAATAGTCCCCATTCAAATACTTTATCCCATATTTATCCCACATATATCAGCAAAATACACAAAATGTTCCAATATTTTGGCAATAAGCTTACATCTTTCTGAAAGAACACATACACTTACAAAACCTCCGTCATCATTCGAAACTCAATTTGGTTCAGAAATTAAAGAAGGGAGCAGCATTCTTTCTCTTCAGGACCACATGGGCAGTACGTAGGATAGCAAAGAGTGAACACTGCATAGAAAGATGGTATACAAACAGCATATCTCCTCCCTTACTTCATGTTAGATATCTTGGGATAGGATCATGAAGGCAGTGCCACCTGCCTAATGAACCAAATTTCTTTTATTTCCATTCATGTGACAAGGACATCTAACACACAGCTTAGGTTGCCTGAAAAAAGAAGTTATTCGGCAGACATCACCTCTGACCCAGAAGAGCAAGTGATACTCATGGGCAGAGATATCAGGATCTACGGCTGCACCTGGGAACTTCAAAATTGAATGGGACCCAAGCACATCACAATTGCCAAGCAAAGAAAACAGCAAACAACCAACCAGTAAAATAAATGTGATAAAAAAGACACTTACTTTATCGGTTCTTACTGGGTAAAGGGATATAGTGATCAGATGTCCAAGTCTGGTTCAGAGAACAGCACTGTAGATTAGAAAAAAATATGAATTATAAGGTCACGAACCCACTTTGACTTTGACTAAGTTATTCTGCATTACGGACCTCAGATTTCTCCCCTATAGATAATAAGGCATAACTGGAAAATGCTGAAGGCTCCTTTCATTTTTGATATCCTGTGATCTAGATGGTCTCACAGTCTATGTACAATTTCAACATAGCTATTCTCCAGACTTGAAAAAGCCATCTCATCCAAAAAGATTTCCTACAGAAAAGGAATATTTAGGATTTTATCAAATACGGTGGCGTGTGAACATACAAATGCACATATTACGTGACAGAAAAGGTACAGTTTTTTTTAACTCCTTCCTAAACAAAATCTAAACAAACGAACATAACATACTAAAAATTTTACAACATAGAATTTAACCCCAGAGTGAAAATATGTCATAACATCAGGAAAATAATAAGCAGAATACATTAAAGCAACAAAAAAAGTTTCAGGTGCACGTGGGTGGCTCAGTCAGTTAAGCACCTGACTTTAGCTCTGGAAAATAGTATAGAGGTTCCTCAAAAAATTAAAGATTGCTCAGTCAGTTAAATATCTGACTCTTGATTTCAGCTCAGGTCATGATCTCATGGTTCATGAGTTTGAGCTCTGCATCAGGATCTGTGCTGACAGTGTGAAGCTTGTTTGAGAGTCTCTCTCTCTCTCTCTCTCTCTCTCGACCCCTTCCCTGTTCATGCTCTCTCAGAATAAACATTTTTAATAATTAAAAATAAAACTACCCTACAACCCAGCAATTGCACTAATAGGTATTTATCCAAAGGATACAAAAATGCTGATTCAAAGGGGCACATGCACCCCCATGTTTATAGCAGCATTATCAACAATAACCAAATTATAGAAAAAGCCCAAATGCCCGTTAACTGATGAATGGATAAAGAAGATGTCGTATGTGTGTGTGTGTGTGTACACACACACACACACACACACACACACACACACACCGGAATACTACTTGGTGATGAAAAAGAATGAAATCTTGCCATTTGCAACAACATGAATAGAACTAGAGTACGTTATGCTAAGCAAAGTAAGTCAGAAAGACAAATATGATTTCATTCCTATGTGGAATTTGAAAAACACAACACATGAACACAGGGGAAGGGAAAGAAAAATAAGATAAAAAGAAAGAGGGAGCAAACCATAAGAGACTCTTAAATACAGAGAACAAACTGAGGGTTGCTGGAGGGGAGGTGGGTAGGGGGATGGGTTAAATGGGTGATGGGAATAAAGGCAGGCACTTGTTGGGATGAGCATTAGGTGTCATATGTAAGAGATACATCACTGAATTCTGCTCCTAAAGCCAAGACTACGCAGTACCTTAACTAACTTGAAAAAAAAAAAAAGCAAAAAGGACACATTAAGGTGACACAGAAGTAGTAATTACAGGAAATCGCTACCATCCTTAGGGCTAGGGCAAAAAGCTGGAAAGTGGAACAGCAAGCAGTCTCCCCTTAGTACCTGAACCTAAGAGAAGTCTGCCGTAAAGTATACTTTCCAGAACATGCACATCACAAAGCCTAATGGCGGGTCTGAAGATGAGAGTTGCCTAATAACTACTACGAACCTCCAGCAGGATAAACACAAAAGGAACTCCACCTCAGCACTTCATAATAAACTACTGAAAACCCAAGACAAAGAAAATTTTAAAAACAGACTGAGACAAAGGACAAATATACCTTTAACCAGCACCACCTTTAGGCACAGCCGACTGTGGCACAGGCCTGGACTTGGGGCTTGGGCTTTAGGGGGTCCTGTTTGGCTTCCTTCTCTCTTCCCCGCCTCCGCGTCACTCTCCACAGGGTGAGGGTCCCGCAGAGTGTAACTCAGGCTCCAAACATCTAGGCCCTCAGAATCCGAGGCCCGCACAGCCTCAGGTCCGCCTCCGACGCTCGCAGCCCTCTTTCCACCGAGGGCGAGCCCCAGGCCTGAGAGCGCCCCGAGCTTGCCGGTGAGGGCTGAATTCAGGGACGACCCAAGGGTGGGGCAAGAAAGGGCCCTGGGTTAAGCGCCTCCGTCTTTTGGCCAGGGCGGGCCTGCCTTCCAAAGAGCCATCGGGTGCAGCCGACTCCTCCCGTCAGGCGGTGGGCGGTGCGAGGAAAGGAGACTTCCGGGAAGGCGGGAAGTTTAACAGGCAACCCTCCCCTGGGCCTCCGAGAGCTGGTGCCGCCCCACAAAAGGCGGCAGCCGCGCGGGCCTGCGCAGCCTCCTGGCCACGTGACAGCAAGGAGGCAGCAGGCTGTGAGGACAGCCCCTACCTCTTCAAGGTGTTGGAAAAGCTTCTTCGACCGTGAGGCCAGCATCCTGGAGGACAGACTGGCGGCACACATCCAGGGCCAGAGAAGTGAGGAGAAGCTGGACCGGATGCATGGCATCCTGCGAATCATTAAACCCGGCAACCATGTGCTCAGCCTGCCAGTCCGCATCCCGAAAAACAACGGCTCCCCAGAAGTCATCTGGGGCTACGGGGCTCAGCCCAGCCAGCACTGCACGCTCCCGTTACAGTGTAGATGTGAATGTGGGCAAAGTATAAGTTTTGGCCTCCCTTATGACTCTACACGTGCTGTGGTTGATGTGCCACTTGGGGGTGCTGATGCTAGAGTGTTAAGATTAATCCCAAGAACTACACCAGTAAGGAACTGGGAAAAGATTACAAGGGGGTTCACCATGGAACTAACAAAAAAATGGGCTTTCTTGGTCCTGGCATCGATGTGCCTTCCTCAGACATGGGCAATGTGAGTGAGAGATGTCCTAGATTGCTGACACCTATGCTAGCATCATAGGGTATGCAAATTAATGCACATGCTATCCTGGTAAATCCATCAATCAGGGTCTCGTCCACTGACATCTCTGCTACTAGCCAGTGTTTTACATGGGATTGAAAACTTCCTCAGTGAAGCTTCTTTCATGAGCATTTTTGGAATGACACCAGGGTTTGGAAATAAAACATTTGTTATTTAGGGCTTTGGCAATTTTGCACTCTATATTTACGTTATAATTTTGCTAAATGTGTTGGTGTTGGTGAATATAATGGGAGCATGTGGAATCCAGATGGCATTGACCAAAAGGAACTATAAGACTTGAAATTGCAACATGGATCAGGACACCTGGGTGGCTCAGTCAGTTAAGCATGGGACTCTTGGTTTCCGCTCAGGTCATGATCTCACGGTTTGTGAGTTCAAGCCCAGCGTCAGGCTCTGTGCTGACAGTGCTGGCAGTGTGGAGCCTGCTTGGGAGTCTGTCTCCCTCTTTCTCGGTGCCAGCCTACTCGCTCAAAATAAATAAATAAACTTTAAAAAAATTTTTTTAAATAAAATTACAACATGAATCAATTCTGGGTTTCTCCAAGGCAAAGCCCTAGGAAGGTAGCATCTTGCCAGCAAACTGGCATACCCATCCCTACTGCCAATGATAAGCAGGTAACCAAGTCTAGTGCACCCTGAATGAAAGCCAAGATCACTGCTGAAGTTTCCAATGAACCAGCAATTCTAGAAGCTGATAATATTTTTCTGAAGAGGAACATTATGTTTATTCCTGATTTATTCCTAAATGCTGAAGGAGTGACAGTATCTTACTCTGAGTGACTAAAGAATATAAATCATGGAGTTCCTGGGTGGCTCCGTCGGTTCACCTGTCTGACTCGTGATTTCAGCTCAGGTCATGATCTCAGGCTCCAGAGATTGAGCCTCAGGCTCCATGCTGATGTAGAACCTGCTTAAATTGTGTGTGTGTGTGTGTGTGTGTGTGTGTGTGTGTAGTCAGCTATGGCTCTTTGACCTTAAATATGAAAGAGATTCTAGCTACTGCTTTCTCATGTCTGTTCAAGATAGTTTAGAAAGAAAATTTAGAAAGCACTATCAAACTTTTCCCAGTGTATCCACGTCAGGGTTCCAAAACAGAGTATCTAAGAAAAGACACTGTACATTCTGGTTTATCTTACACTGTGGAGTTTTCTGCCAGGCAAATCATGTACACAGCCACAAAGAACAACCTAGGATTGAACCTGAAAACAGCTGCCTATGTCAGCACCATTGAGAAAGTCTTCAGGGTGTGCAGTGTAGCTGGTTTGACCTTCAAATAAATAGAACATATCTGACTTCTTCATTATCCTCTTTACCTGTAGCTTCTGCAAACCTATCACATGTTTACAGAAAGAGTTCTCTCTTAAGGACATCATTCTTAATAAGTCAGTCCAAATCAGCCATTTAAAAAGGAAGAAATTAATGGTGGCAGATCACATATGCATTGATGAATGTGAAAGTAGAAATTGCCTGTGCCAGAGGGCCACTTGGGATATTTTGCCTTTAAATAAAAAGCCTTTTCATCTAGCTATATGCTCCCAGCTCCCAGCTTATTCCCAACATGTTAATTACCTTTTGTTTCAGCTGAGCAATCAGTTGTTTGCATAATTTTACTCTGTCCAGGTCTGAGATGGAACATGCTATAATTTTGATGCATTTAAAAAGTAGGTGTGTGACATTTTCAGAAGGTAGTGTTGTCCTAAAATTAGTTATTATTATTTCACATCAGCAAAATAACTCAATTTTACAGGATACAAAAAAAATAAAAGCTGTTTCTTCTATGCATTTTATTCTCTTAAAATGATATGAGTACATGCTGCTGTAATAAAATTCCCTTTAATCATTTAACAAGCCTAACCTTGACTCAAACAGCAAGCGCTTACAAACATAAATGAAAAAATATAGTATTTTATGATATAAAATAGTATTACTTATAGTTCATC